GAGGATCCGGAAGCAACCATGGCGAGGTTCCTTAATGGATTAAATTCTGAAATTAGGAAGAAGGTTGAACTTCAAGACCACTTTGAACTTCAACAAATGGTGTCTTATGCAGAGAAGGTGGAAAAGCAAGCCTTACCTCTAAAGACACCTAGTGGCCGAACCACTACATCCTCTTCCACCCCTTGGAAAAGAAATCAATTGCCAACATCCAGTGCTTGGCCAAGGCAAGGTAATAGAGAGAGGGAAAACAAGCGGATGGAACAACCGTCCCATTCGAGTGCAACTTCTTCTAAACCAACCCCGCGGTCAACTCTTCCAGGAGCAAATACATCTACCAACCAGCCAAAGGCATGTTTCAAATGCAAGGGAATTGGCCACCTCATGGCTCAATGCCCTAACCGAAGCATCATGTATATGAATGAAGAGGGAATGTGGCAAAGCGAAGGAGAGGAGGAATATGCGGACATGCCACCGCTTGAAGAAGAGGGGAAGGATGATGACCTGGTTGAAATAGAAGAGGACCCCGTGGCTCGAACTATGGTGACTATGAGAGTGCTAAATGCACAAGCTCAAGAAGATGATCTCCAACGGACCAACATTTTTCATACAAGATGCAAAATTGGAGATGAGGTATGTCTCATCATCATTGATAGTGGCTCTTGTACTAATTGCGTAGCTGCTGACTTTGTTGAGCAAAAACACCTTCCATGGACTTACCACCCTAAACCCTATAGACTATCTTGGTTAAATGATGGGGGGGAAGTCAAGGTGACCAAACAAGATTTAATCGCTTTTTCTATTGGTCGGTACAAGAACCAAGTTTTATGTGATGTAATTCCTATGCAAGCTAGTCATGTCTTGTTGGGACGTCCTTGGGAGAATGATAGACAGGCTGATCATATTGGACTTACCAATAAATATAAGTTCATTATGGATAACCTCAAAATCACTCTGTCACCATTGACACCTACACAAGTGTATGAAGAACAATTGCATTTAAGAAAAGAGAGAGAGAAAAGGCAACCAAAAGAAACAAAGAAATAGCCGAATGAGAGAGAGAATGAGGGAAAAAAGAAAGTAGAGGCCGAGTTGAGTGAAAACGGAAATTCGAGTGAGAAAAAACTCAGTGAGGCCGAGAGCTTGAAGGTGAAAAAAAGGAATTTCTATGCAAGTGTGCGTGAGGTAGATATGGCTTTGAATGCACAAAGTCTTCTCGTAGTACTTCTGTACAGGGAAGCTGATTATTCTTCTTTTTACACACTAGGCATAACCGATTCTCTTCCTAGTGCAATCTACTCTCTTTTGCAGGAATTCAAGGATGTGTTTCCGGAGGAACTACCGAAAGGATTACCTCCAATTCGAGATATTGAACATCAAATCGACTTTGTTCCTGGAGCAATTCTACCAAATCGACCAACCTATAGAGCAAATTCGGAAGAAACAAAGGAAATCCAAAGGCAAGTCGATTCCCTCCTTGAAATGGACCAGGTTCGTGAATCTCTTAGTCCTTGTGCAGTTCCCGTTATTTTAGTACCTAAGAAAGAAGGGACTTGGAGAATGTGTACAGATTGTCGTGCAATTAATAAAATTACTGTTAAGTATCGTCATCCCATTCCTAGGCTAGACGATATGTTAGAAGAATTGCATGGAGCAATCATTTTCACTAAAATTGACTTAAGATCTGGTTATCATCAAATAAGGATAAAGGAAGGTGACGAATGGAAAACTGCTTTCAAAACGAAGTATGGTTTTTATGAGTGGCTTGTGATGCCTTTCGGCTTAACAAACGCCCCAAGTACTTTCATGAGATTAATGAACCATGTTTTAAGGCATTTTCTTGGAAAGTTCGTTGTTGTTTATTTTAATGATATATTGATCTTTAGCAAGTCTTTAGAAGAGCATGTTGAGCATTTGCGACTTGTTTTAAGTGTCTTGCGTGAAAATAGGTTATTTACTAACCTGGAAAAATGTGTCTTTTGCACTCCTGAGGTTAACTTTCTTGGTTATATTGTTGGTGCAAATGGCATAAGTGTTGATCCCGTTAAGGTAAAGGCTATCATGGAGTGGCCGACTCCAACCAATGTGTCTCAGGTAAGGTCTTTTCATGGTCTTGCAAGCTTCTATAGGAGATTTGTTAAAGACTTTAGCACTATTGCAGCACCTTTGAATGAGATAGATAAAAAGAATGTGGGGTTTCAATGGGGAAAAGAGCAAGAAGAGTCGTTTAATAAGCTTAAAAATTTGTTAACTTCAGCACATATTCTTGCTTTGCCTAATTTTGATTTGATGTTTGAAGTTGAATGTGATGCTAGTGGGATTGGCATCGGGGCTGTTTTACATCAAAATAATAGGCCCTTGGCATATTTCAGTGAGAAGTTGAGTGGGGGAGCTCTTAATTACCCTACTTATGATAAAGAATTGTATGTTGTTGTGCGTGCTCTTGAAGTGTGGCAGCATTATCTTATGCCTAAGGAATTTGTGATACATACTGATCACGAATCAATTAAATTCCTTAAGGGGCAGGGTAAGTTGCATAAAAGACATGCGAGATGGATTACATTTATTGATTCCTTTCCATATATCATTAAGTATAAGAAGGGAAAAGATAACGTCGTTGCGGATGCATTGTCTAGAAGGTATATTTTGATCACTAACCTGAGCACTAAGTTACTTGGTTTTGAGCACATTAAAGACTTGTATGCACATGATGCTGATTTTTCTAATGTGTTTCAAGCTTGTGAACATGCTGCATTTCAAAAGTTTTATAGGCATGAAGGCTTCTTGTTCAAAGAAAATCGCCTATGTATTCCCAACTGTTCACTTAGGAAATTACTTGTTAGAGAAGCCCATAGCGGAGGGTTGATGGGGCATTTCGGTATTGATAAAACTCTTGACATTTTGCATGAGCATTTCTATTGGCCTAAAATGAGGCGTGACATTGCTAACATTTGTGATAAGTGTTTAAAGTGTAAGCAGGCAAAGTCAAGGAGTAACCCTCATGGATTGTATACTCCTCTACCCGTACCTCATGCTCCTTGGACAGACATATCCATGGATTTTGTGCTTGGTTTACCAAGATCTTCTACAGGTATGGATAGTATCTTTGTTGTAGTGGATAGATTTTCTAAAATGGCTCATTTTATCCCTTGTAGGAAAACAAATGATGCGTGCCATGTTGCTGATTTATTTTTCAAGGATGTGGTTAGATTGCATGGAGTACCGCGTACTATTGTAAGTGATAGGGATATGAAATTCTTAAGCTATTTCTGGAAATCACTTTGGGGAAAGTTGGGAACTAAGTTGCTGTTTTCTACTTCTAGTCATCCCCAAACGGATGGTCAGACTGAGGTAACCAATCGAACCCTTGGTGCTCTATTTCGAGCCATTGTTCAAAAGAACTTGAAGAAGTGGGAAGAATGTTTGCCTATTGCCGAGTTTGCATATAACCGAACCACTCATTCTACTACCAATCATTCCCCTTTTGAAATTGTTTATGGGTTTCAGCCACTAACCCCTCTAGATTTATCACCTATTCCTGTTAATGAGTGTTTAAGCGCAGATGGTGTCAAAAAGGCAGAAGCTGTTAGGATCTTGCATGAGAGAGTTCGAGCTCAAATTGAGAAGAAAAATGTGCAATATGCACAACATGCAAATAAGGGTAGAAAACATGTTGTATTCAAACCCGGTGATTGGGTTTGGGTGCACATGAGGAAGGAAAGGTTTCCAGCATCTCGACGGACCAAGTTACATCCAAGAGGCGACGGACCTTTTCGAGTACTAGAGAGGATCAACGACAATGCATACAAATTGGAACTTCCAAGTGAGTATGGCATAAGCGCATCTTTTAATGTATCTGACCTATCTCCATTTGACTTTGATACAGACTTTGAAGATTTGAGGACGAATCCTTTCGAGGAGGGAGGGAATGATGCAGATACGGGTGCACAACAACTTCAACCTTGGGTCAAGGACAACATTGAAGGTCCGATGACAAGATCAAGATCCAAGAAGGTGAAGGAAGCTTTACAAGCCTTGATCATTCACCATACAAGCAAGGAGCAAGCTAGGTTTGAAGATTTGATGGACCGTGACGTTACTTTGTTCACTTGTACGTTTGAAGTGAAGGAATGATCTCATACTTGTTAGTTTAGTTGGTAGTTGTTTTAAGACTGTCTAGTTTAGTAGTTGTTAGGCGTTAAGTATTTTATTACTTATTGGGCCTTATTGGAAAGCTTTAAAGAGCTGGCTCTTTAAGCTCTTTATGCGGACCGAATTTCTTTCAGGTTTATGTGGGCCGGATTTTGCCCTAGTTTTAGCCTATAAAAAAGGCACCTCTTGTATGAGGAGGGGGAGAATAATATACAACCAAAAATCGTGAGGAATTTTCCTTCAAGTTCTTAATCGAACTTACTCTTGAATTCTTGAGTTCATTGCTTAGAATTCAAATCTGACTTTATCGATTAGTTTGTTCCCTAATCGTGGTGTCTCTTCATCCATCATTATTTGCTTAAGGTTGCTGATTGCCTTTGTGTGTCAGAGGTCTTGAGTTCATGAGAACAATCGAGTTCAATTTACATTGGGAGAAACGATCCAACTCTGATAATTACAAGGTTGGGAGGTTCTAGGAGGGTCTTCCCCTAGGGTTGCTCATCACTCGAGTATACCAATTAGTCGAGGAGATAACACTCCATTCGACAAAACAGCAGTCCCAGGGTTCGTTATCTAATCGACCAAGCTCTTGCCGGCTCGACTCGATTAACTAGCCTATGGGGTTTATGATCCAGGCCATTACATTCAACTCATGCGCATGAATCTCAGTTCACTTGTAAACAATTCACTTATAGTAGTAAAACAGGAATTCAGTCAAGTTAGGTCGAGTGTGATAAAGTACACACTCACCTATGTAATAACAAGTCAATTCAAGTAACAAGTCATATACAGGTCATATTTGTTCAACAAGTAGCATGGAACTTGCAGTTGGAACACTCACTAGTTCAAGTAAAAATAGCGTCAAAAGTTTCCTCCTGGATTGCCCCTTTGATCAGACAAGCCCTAAGAATATAATTTAGACTCGGCTATGAGTCGTATACCTCTCCAAGTTAAATTTTTTCAAAACCCAACATACACAGCCATATTTAGAATGCAAATCAAGGAAAAATTTAAGTATATTCTAGGGCAAAAACTCAAGTAGGGTTTTGAAGCGTATAAGAGCATTTTGGACTCAAGAAACATGAATAACCAATAAATTCCTTATTCGCTTCATGGTGGGAAATTTTCCAGCGGCGAACCAATGAAAGAAACAAGGTTTTCTCAAGTCAAGTCAGCGAGGTTGTGTCCAAAAGACTGTCAAACTAAAGACGTTGAGGCTAAAAGGTAGCAAGGTGCAAAATTGCCCTTCAAATCAGAATTTTTTTCACAGCCATGAAACAAGCACAATCATGAGGTTTTCACCTCCCAATTTTCATAGTTTTTACTCAAATTCACGCACAAAAGGCTCCTCCAAAGTTTGGAGCAAGTTTTGGCCAAAACCAATTACTAAAAGGTTAGAAAAACAACAATGTAATAGGCTGCACTCTCCATCGACAAACAAGCACAAGTTTAGCCAGCAATTTGGAAGAAAATCGCAATGAAACCCTTCCATTTCAACCAAAATGCAATACATAAGCAAAGCTTAAAGGTTCACTAAGCATATTAGGCAAGTACATCACTAAATCAGTCCAAAATCAAGGTAGTAAGCTGCCCCAAAATTTGGACAGCATAACCCCTGTTTTATCCTATATTTCCTCTCCAAATTCAATACAAAATGTCATGGCCAAATGATCCAAATCAAGACCACAAATGATAGGCTATACAAGCTACTAGTTTCAGACCATAAAGCCCCCAAAAATAGACAAGTATTCAACTCACATGTCTCCATACCAAGGCTGGCCATCAAGCAAAAGTTCAACTCTACAAGCTGAAATTTCCAGATGCAAACTAATAGAACATGTACAAGCTAGAAAAATCACATGACATGGCTAACATTTATATTAAACATGATATTAACATATTAACACTCACTTTCCTCAGCTAAAACTGGAAATTTATCGCTTGGGACATGAAACATGTGAAAGTGAAGTTTTCACCTCTCAACCTTCATTTTCTACTTCAATTCACTACTCATACCAAAATTAATGTCTAATCATATGTTTAAGACATTAACAAGATGATTTCACCACACAAAACCAAGATTAAAGCTAAACCAAAATCACTCTCTCTTTCGGTCTACCTCAAGGAGAATTCCAGCCATGAAAGCAGTGAAATAAATGGAGTTTAAACCACTTAAGGTCCATGGTTTTGGTTCATTTCCAACACATACTTGTAGTTTAAAAGTCTTCTAGGGTGTTTTGAGCAAATTGTGCTTAACATCATCTTGAAAAATTTACCGATCAAAGCTGAAATTCCAGCAAGCATTCTTTCTTTGGAAAAATCATAACTTAAGTTATAAATGTCAAAAACTCATACAAATTATCTCGTTTAAAACTAGACTTGAAATACTAACAATTTTTAGAAGACATCTCAAGGATATTTGGTTCATAAGTTAATCCAAATTGAGTCACAAGTTACCACAACATCCCAATTTTTACTTGTTCACGACCGATTTTTCAGTCAACTTTGCTGATTTTCTGGTGCATATATAAAATGAGCCACAGCTCCAATTTTATACCGTTGGAAAGATCTATGAGTATAGTTTCAAACACAATTGACGGCACTCAATTTCGATTTTTCTACACTAAGTTATGATCCGTTTACTAAAACTGTCCAGAGGTAACTGTTACCCGAATTTCCAGCTTTCACAAGAGTTATTTCAACTTTATCTTTGCAAATCTCACCTCTAAACCAGCAATTTGCAACCAAGATCAAAACCAACATGCTATATATCATACAAAACAAGAAATATAACAGTTAGAGTGTGACTTCCTAGTGGAAACTCCTCAAACGGACAAGACAGCAAGCTGTGACAAGGATGGAGCAAAGTTCCTCCAATTTTTCTCAAGCTCTCTTAGACAAATTTTCAGCCAAATCAATGAACGTACAACTATGATTCAACCATATACACATACTAACTTCCATATACACGGTTGTCATGATATAAAACATGAAATCTTAGCAAAACTTCACTCCAAATTTAAAGTAAAACTGATATATTCAACTTTATGCAATCGGTCAGCCCACAGATTTTTTTCCAACCAGGTTCCTTCAAAATTTATTTCATCCAAGCAACTAATTTCTCACTCTTTTTCATGGCAAATACACCATATATCATTTTTAACATAGGATGAATCATATGACCTAAGTTCTTAGCAAAGAAACCCATCAAAGTTCCAAATACAAAGCTGCAAATCAAAACTATCACCATATGTCACTAAATTAAAATTCTAGCGACCTATAACTTAGAAAAGTAGATTTTTCTTCCACTAAACTCCCACCTTTTGGCTTAAATTTAACATACAACTAGAGTACTCAAGAGTAATAGAAAAATGAGGGGTTTTATAGCAATTGTTACCTCCCTTTTTCCTCACAAATCAAAGCTGAAAAAAAATGCAGATGGCTCACTTGCTTCTCCTTCGATACCTCAAGGGTGATATGCACCAGCTTTCCTCTGTTTTCTCCCCTCCAACATAGCTGGATCCTTTCTACTCTCTTGACTCTCTCTCACTTATGGTTTAAACTTGAAGAAATAGGGGAATTTTGTGAAATATCTATGGCTGAATCAGCCTTGGTTCTCGGTTGATGACAGGAAGAAGAAGATGGAGTTTTCTTGCTCTCAACTCTCTTTTCTCTCTCGGCTGAAGTGGAGCAAAACAAGAGGAAGACTATGGCTAATTTTTCTTGTTTCATGACTGATGTTAATGGTTGAAAAATGAAGAAAGCTCCAGGGTTAAATCTTGTGGTTTTCCATCGATTTTTTTTTTTTTTAGAAAGCAAAGGAGGAGAAGTAAATGGATTTCTTTCTAGCTCTCTCTCTCGGCTGTTTGTGAGGAAGAAAGAATGAAAGCTTCTCCCTCTCGGTTGAACTAAAGAAAAGAAACAAGAGGGAATAAATTGGACTTGGTCAACTTGTGCATGGTACTTGGACTTGGTCAAAAATTGTGGCTAGTCTTGCAATGAGCAAATTATCCCTCACTTTCTCTCGGTTGAAGACTGGTCTAGGGAGCTCTTGGTCAAGATAAGAAGATTATGGCTGATTTTTCCACTCCATTGTCGGCCAAGAGGTAAGAAAAGGAATGAAATGTTTTGGTCTATTTTGCTTCCAAGGTGAAGACTAAAACTAGTCTTGATCAAAGTCAAAAATCCAATAATTCTAAAAGTAATTAGCTAAGATTAACCCTTCATTTCCACTCAATTAGAGTTTGCACAACCAAATGAGTTTGACTACTTCAATTAAACCCTTGCAAATGTTTTCAAAATTATTGGACGGAAACAAGAAGGTATAAAATCATATATAAATCATTTTCCAATTACTAAGAAATATAATTCATTCAAAGTAGAAAATTTCAAAACAAATACGTTTCGAAAACACCTTGTAGCACAATAACCCCTTTTGTACAAATCTCCCTCTAGTTCACAAAATTTATCGCACCTACCTCGCTAGTTGGACGAATTGGTATATCACCCCAAGAAAACCAACATGCAATAAATTGAATGAGGCAATAGGAGTGAAATCACGATTCAATTGTTAGATTAACCAAAGATTCAAGGCAATTAAATTAGAATACAAATATATATATATATATAATTTTTGAGAATATCAATATAAATATAATTTTCGGGTTCTCACAAAAATACATTGAATGATTTCAGTTTAGTATATAATTCTGTACCCATGTTTTGTGACAACATTAGTGCCATCAATTTGACAAAAAATCCCATTCAACATTCTAGAACAAAGCATATAGACATTAAGCATCACTTCATTCGTGATCTTGTCCACAAGGGTGAAATTTGTATTCAATACGTCAGTTCCAAAGATCAAATTGCTGATATTTTCACAAAAGCCCTTCCACTGGATCATTTTGTATATCTGAGAACAAAACTGGGCATCTCAGAAAAAATCCTCTAAGTTTCTCTTTGGTCACTTCTTATCGGACGTCCAACAGTGTTCTTCATTCTCTTCTGGAAAGACACTGATTCGGACGGTTGTGTCGGACGCTTCACTTCGTTCGGACGTCCGACACTCAAAAATTGAGCCTTATAAGGTAGTTACCCACCTCACTCAGTTCATTTTCCTCCACGGTCTCGGACACAACCTTTTAGTCTCCTCTTAGATTTAAAATTCAAATTCCTCTCTCCTCAAATCAAGTTTCAAGAAATTGACTCAACCAACGCCATTACACCTCTGTTGCCCGTTAACTACCCATAAAAATCACTCCTAACCCCCAACTACCCCATTGTTCCCAATTCACATCCGAAACCCTAACTTCTTATAATTCTCTCCTTGCGGCATTTCAGTGCATTCTCATTTTTGCTCATACTGCATTCTTCCTCTGTACAACACGTTCTGCATAAAAAACACATCCACATTGCATCATGGTTAGAATCAGAGGAGGATCTACTAGTGCCGGACGGTCCTTTAGACTTAGAGTTGAGGACATTAAAATTGTGGAACCGTCTACCAAAGCACCTAAAAGGAAGATTGTGACTCGTGGTGGTAAAGTGAAGCAAACTGCCCAAAGAAAGAGGGTTTCTCCAACTGTTGAACCATCTGATGAGCAGATGGAAGAGCAGAACTCTGATGGAAACACAGTTGGTGGAAATGAGGAACCAGAACAAGCTACCCAGAATGATGAAACTGTTACAAGGTCATCTGGTAAAAGGAAAAGAACAGCAAAGAAGAAGAGCACTCCCCAATCCAAGAAAAAGCAATCTGCTGATCCATCTGATGATCAGCAGAATGAAGGAAACATTGCTGAGATTCAGCAAACACCTGAACCCTCCACCAAGAAATCTCCAAGGACAAGGACTAAGGCTCAAAATGTTGGGTCATCTGCCACACAAATCTCGAATAGGAAACGTTCTGGGAAGGTTCATGTTTCTCAGCCCGTAGAAGAACTCACTCGAATAGGAAACTTTTTTTGGTTTCCCTTTTTCTCCCTCCTAAAAACCCAGCTGTCCCTCTCTGTCTTGCTTTTCTTATCCGTCGCCCCTTTTCTCTCCTTCTCTCCCTCTCAGCTTTTTCACTCAGCCCGTCCCCTCTACCTCTGTTTATTTCTTTTGCCGTTTTTCAGATTTTGCAGCCGCCACCACTCTTTTCTCCTTTTTTTCTCTTAGCCGCTCTCCCCCTTTTCTATTTATATGGGGGCACCAGAACCCTAAACCCTCAAACATCTTTCCTAAAATTGCAGCTAAAGGGGCTGCCCGGTCCTCCCTTGCAAGCTGCAAAAAATTGCAGCTTGCATGCCGCGGTCACTTTTTTTTTTTCTCACTTAATTTAAATAAAATTGATAATAAAACTAAGTAATAAAACAGCAATTTAAGTAAGTAAAAAAAACAACAAAGTTGTCATTTCTCAATTTTTCCTTCATTTTTCATTTTCATCTTTTCCTTTTTTCTTTTTTTTTAAATTAAACAACAATGAATTTAAATCAAAACAATTAAAACATATATATTTTTTAATGCTTTTTTTTTCTTTTTCGAGAAATTCTATGCTAAAACTTACGAATAAAAATAATAAAATGAAAACTAAAAAACTAAAAACTAAAAAGTGAATAAAACTTAACACGACAAATAAAAATTAAGACAAAATAGTAAATGCAAGTTACACTAAAATTTTGGTGTCTACAGTTTGCCCCTCTTTGTCTGAGTTTTGGAAAAACTTGAGACAAAGAAGTAGACACCAAATACTTACCTGTGTTATTTGGCTGTGAACGACTCGAACGATGGGGACTGACCCCTTTTGATGAGATTAACTGGGACGAGAAATTTTTAATGGACTATCTGAACAAGAAATTTAAAACGAGACTGACCCGAACAAGAATTTAAAACGGGACTGGCCCGAACAGGAATTTAAATGAGATTGACCCGAAAATGAATTTAAAACGGGACTGATCCGAACAGAAAATTAAAACGGGACTGGCCCGAACATGAAATTTAAAATGGGATATACCCGAACAGGAAATTTAAAACGGGATAGACCCGAACAGGAAATTTAAAACGGGGTTGACCCGAACAGGAAATTTAAAACGGGATAAACCCGAACAGGAAATTTAAAACGGGATAGACCCGAACAAGCTTTTAATCATGGGACTGACCCGAATAAAACGAAAATTATGGGACTTGCCCGAATAAAATGAAAATCATGGGACTGACCCGAACAAGTTTTTAATCATGGGACTGACCCGAATAAACTTTAAATCATGGGACTGACCCGAATAAAACGAAAATCATGGGACTAGCCCGAATAAAATGAAAATCATGGGACTGATCCGAATTAAATGAAAATCATGGAACTGGCCCGAATAAAATGAAAATCATGGGACTGACCCGAACAAACTTTTAATTATGGGACTGACCCGAATAAGTTTTAAATCATGGGACTGACCCGAATAAAACGAAAATCATGGGACTGACCCGAATTAAATTGAAATCATGGGACTGACCCGAACAAGCTTTTAATCATGGGACTGACCCGAATAAACTTTAAATCATGGGACTGACCCGAACAACCTTTTAATCATGAGACTGACCCGAATAAGCTTAAAATCATGGGACTGACCCGAATAAATTTTTAATCATGAGACTGACTCGAATAAGCTTTTAATCATGGGACTGACCCGAATAAAACGAAAATCATGGGACTGACCCGAATAAAATGAAAATCATGGGACTGACCCGAATAAGCTTTAAATCATGGGACTGACCCGAATAAAACGAAAATCATGGGACTGTCCCGAATAAAACGAAAATCATGGGACGCACGCTAGTGGGACTGACCCACGGCTAGCGGCGGGGTAAATGGAATGCTCACTGGCGGGACAAACCCACGCTCCAGTAGCGATGTAAATGAAATGCTCACTGGCGGGACTAACCTCACGCTCCAGTGGCTGTGAAAATGAAATGCACACTGGCGGGACTAACCTCACGCTCCAGTGGCTGTGAAATGAAATGCTCACTGGCGGGACTAACCTCACGCTCCAGTGGCTGTGAAAATGAAATGTTCACTGGCGGGACTAACCTCACGCTCCAGTAGCGATGAAATGTCTTGACAATCGGACAGTGGGATCAAACCCGAGCCTGCCGTGATAAACTTGATTTGATTTTTTGATTTTTTGGTTTTTTGATTTTTGATTTTTTTGAGAACTTTTCCAAAGATAATTTGCCCCAGTATGATGAATTGGTCAGTGGGATTAAACCCGAGCCTGCCTCAGTTGCACAGAATCCAAGCTCAATCGGGATATTGGCGGCATAAAGTCCAGACCCAACGTAATCTTTGTGATGTTGGCGACACGAAGTCCAGGCCCAACGGGATGTTGTGAAGTTGGCGGCACGAAATCCAGGCCCAACGGGATGTTTGGAATGTTGGCGGCACGAAGTCCAGACCCAACAGGATGTTGTGAAGTTGGCGGCACGAAATCCTGGGCTGTTGTGAAGTTGGCGGCACGAAGTTCAGGCCCAACGTGATCTTGTGAACAAGAAATTGAATTTGATTTGTCAAGAAGCAAGAAATTAAACTTGAGTTTTTTTATTTTTGACCTTTCTGATGATGATTTTTGATGATTTTTTGATTTTTTCTTTCTTTTCTGATTTTTTTTTCTTTCGGATTTTGTCGAGAGAATTTTTTCAAAATAATTTGCCCCAGTGTCGGGTCCATTTTTCCCTCCTTCTTCTTGCTTCTC